GGGAGGAGGAACCATTGGGGGGGGAGTACAATACCGTAGCTAATGGCTAAATCAAGACCATGAGCCTATGTTCCTACAGAATCCACCATGGCAGCATCCGTTCGGATCGGCGCCCTAGGCTGGGCTCTTGTTAAGGAACTTAATGTAAGTTACCATAATAGGGATCTATAGTAGATAGTAGGGTTTCTTTATTATGGTAGGCCCTAAACCCTAAATCCTAAATCCCTAAACCCTAATTTAAATCCCTAAATCCCTAAATACCTAAACCCTAAATCCCTAAATCCCTAAACATTAAATCCCGAATAACAAGAACCCAGTAGGAGCCCGGCGGCAGCCACGAAGGCCGCCCAGAAAGCTTGACCTGGCCAGGCTTTCGCCACCTCCGGAAGCGGTGCTCTGGGTTTGCCGCGCACACATCATGCTTCTGCTGAAATCCCCCTACATCCATTTACTATAAACCATATCTCCCAGACCGCTTCCACCAAACTGGACGAAAAGTGCAGGATTCCTGGTGCGAGGCACATACTGCCTCTCAGGCTCTATGGATAAAACTTGAATGGGATGCTAAAGCCTATAGCCTATTTTAAAACACTCCTACAAGAGATGGACCCCCACCCCTCTGCACCTCCTCAAAGAGCGCCCGCAGCACGGATGTGTCCAGCACACTGTGGTGGCAAACTGCGGTCTGAGCTCCCTGCCTGGCGGAGGATACATCTACTGTAGGGTTTACAGCTCTAAGACGTTGTTGAATGCTTATAGGGTTGAGGGTTTGAGGGTTTATGGATTAGGCTTAAACCCTAAACCCCAAACCCTAAAGCCGGTTCAGCGCTTTAGGGATCTCGGTTTGCTTCCCACGGCTTCTTCGAATGACCTCGAAACTGCTAAGGTCCCCAAGTTCCCAAAGCCCACATGCTCGAAAGCTCCCAAACAACATCGAGGGCTTAGGGATTACGGTTTATAGGGTTTAGGGATTACGGTTTATAGGGTTTAGGGATTACGGTTTATAGGGTTTAGGGATTACGGTTTATAGGGTTTAAAGATTACGGTTTAGGGATTCCACGGCTTATAGGGTTTAGGGCAATTTAGGGTTTACAGTTTAGTCCGCCCACGAGATACGTTGATATTGCATGATCGACAGCAGTAAACTGAAAGCATCCCCAAACGGGTACTTAGGGCGCGTGGGAAAAGGACCGGAAAGCAAACACTTCATCACAGACCCCTGCTGTCAGCGAACCCCTATATGGCAGTTTCCGAAAATAAGGGTACCTTATTTGGGGGTCCTTATAATAGGGATCCTATTATTTAGGGTGTCCCCTTATTTTCGGAAACCCCCATATACGTGGACTAAGCAGACCGTTGCTTTTGGGCACCTTGGCTTCTGGAGACCAGGCAGCAAAGCAGGCGGAAAAGCATCGTAGCCTGAGTAGGTTTAGGATATAGGGTGCTGGATCTAGGCCTATATTTATATATATATATATATGTACAATATGTATATATATATACATACATACATACATACATACATACATACATACATACATACATACATACCTGCATATATATGTATCTATGTAAATATACCTGTATTATATATGTGTATATATATATATAGATTTCATTATTCTCTTTTATCCAAAACTGGCTGCATCCGCACAAATCTAAAGACGGACACATGCTGAAAGTTTTCAGGCCGGAACGGTGGAGGTCGACGGCGCTTCGAATCGGGGGACACGCGTCTGAGTCAAAGGTGCAGAGCAGGGACTCGGCCTTCGTCGGTTTGCAGAGTTGATCTACCCAGAGGCTCCATGGTAGTTCCTTTTTGTGGTTCGTATTTAGGATCCTATAAGGTAATCCCCAAAAGGAACTACCATAAAGCCTATGGGTAGAACTGCTACAAGGTGTGGATAGGTGTCTATAGCGCTTGATAAAGAGGGCTTGGTGATACGATCGTATGATTCTAGGAGGAATATAAGGAACCCTAAACCGTAAACCCTAAACTGTGACATGATCAATTTGTCAGGCCTCTGTACTCCGGCTTTAGCAGCTTAGAACTTCTCAGATGTCTTGGCTCAGAGGAACCTAGAAGGGCTTACTGTAAGGGTTTGCTAACCACTTTTACGCCTATAACCCTAAATCCCCGAAGCCCTCGAGTCTATGCCGACGCAGAATCGGTCTTGTTTAGTAAAAGCAATGTTCGCAAACCCTAAACCCTAAACCCCACAAAACCCTGAGCTGTAAGCAGGGAGCCTGACAGTCCGCACACTTGCAAGTCAGCCCAAACCCCAAACCCTAAACCGTCTAACCTAGGGGCCTTAATGATTAGCATAGGGTTTCTGTAACAGGTTCCTTAAAAGGGGTACTACAGAGGTTACTATAAAGGTTTATAACCTCCAAACGGAACATCCGCTGCCTCGGGCGTGAAGAATGTCAAAGGCGACTCTTGTTGCAGCCAAACCTCAGAGATCCCCTAGTCTAGGTGCTTAGGATTTATCGAGCATGGGGTTCATATGCTGTGGTAGGGTGTGTTGTTAACCCTATGACACACCATGACGCCAAAGTATACTTCTGGGAGTCTTACGTTTTACGTATATACACCGACCAAACTGTAATCCCCTATGCATAAGGCATAAGGTGCCAAAGATAATCTCTGTAACCTACGAAAGCACCTTCCGCAAGTTCCAAAGACGTGCGAGCCTTCCTTAAGCCCACAACATCTCTTTGGGGTTACGTTGAGCTATTCTTCTGGACAGGATGTTGGATGAACGCAGCTGGCATGCGGGGCTGTTCATTAGCGGATGCATCCCTAGATCCTATAATCTAAACGCTGATGAGGGCGCAGCGACATCAGCGTCGCAAACGAGGACACGCTCCGTGAGGCCTTTGGCAGACCCTAAAACTCCCAGGTTAGTTAAGGGTTCAGGGCTTCGTGCAGCGCAACACAAAACCGTCAAGGGAAGGGGGGGGGGGGGTCATGACAACAGGAGTCACAACCGTGCTCACAGTCATTCCAAAGCCCGCCGGTCTAGTGTAGAGAGCACATAGCTAGCCGCAAGAGTCACTATTGCAGTCAGACTCAGTCTGATATACCCCGTCTTTCCAAATAGTCAGACGCTCGAAACTCTCCTCACACAAAGGAACGAGATGCTTGCATGTGCATGCGAGTATACATGGCTATCTACCGACACATGCGAGTAAACATGTTTGAAGATGTGTATATATAGATATACATACATGTACACATGTTTCCTTTGTTTGGTCACTGTTCTTTACCTATGTGACCCTTATTACTTGCTCCGACTAGAAGTTGTGGCAAGCTCAAGCTAGAGGTCCTTGCCTTTCAGGGTTTGGGTTTAGGGTTTAGGGTTTAGGGTTTAGGGGTTTAGGGGTTTAGGGGTTTAGGGGTTTAGGGTTTAGCGCTTCGGATGTTTGGAGCTATAAGTTTCAGGGTACCTGCTGCCTCGAATTTACAAACCATGCAGTTCAAGGTTGAGAGGTTTGATCATTAGAACAAGGTCTGGGGGCCTAAATTGGTGCGGACATGATGGGCCAAACCCTAAACCCTAAACCCTACCCTAAACCCTAAACCCTCAACCCTAAACCCTGTTTATAGCCGGAGGGTCTTTGCTTCACATCGGGGATCGTCTGAAAAAAGGTATCCGAAACCCAAAGGAGGGACCTTCCGTATGACAACTAAGCATCACACCGTCCAACAGCAAGGGACCATGTAGTCTTAGCCATCAGGGCACGCTTGCAGGCAGCGATTTCGGAAGCTGAGTGGCGTATCTTTCCACTGGTGACCACGTTTAGGTTTTGTAAGATCATCATTGAATCATTATGAGCTTAACTGCAATCTGGGCCATCTTCATCAGCACCATCACGATTATCTGCAGCAACATCAACATCAGCACAATCCTAGATCAACGCCCGTAAAACGAGAATCGACGTCTCCAAGCTTCCTCGGATCTGCTTTGGGTGACTGTCCTAGAGCTCAGACTCAACAAGTCACCCATGCGGAGAGCACAACATCCGTCAATCAACCGAGGTACCTGAACTCAGCAGGGGATGCTTACGATTTATGGCTTTAACTGTATTCCATAATTCAGGAATCGGCCTCTTGGGGTATCTAAATCCTACATCCCTGCATCGTGGCGCGAATGACGGAGGGAAGAATGAGCTCAGTCCTCCGGATTCCACACCCTAGACAATCATGGTCCCATCTCGGTTCTGACTCATCTTGGCGCGCTTGTGTGTGTGTGTGTGTGTGTTCATACATACAATATAAATATACGTGTATACATCTCTGTATACATAGTATATATACATATATACTTGTCTGTACGTCAACATCATACATCTGAATCTGAATCTGAATCTGAATCCACATCCACCTCTACATATGTTTGTAGGTATGTATGTATGTATGTATGTATGTATGTATGTATGTATGTATGTAGGAACGTATGCATACAGCAATACACATATAAATATACACATATATACTATCATACACACATATGAACATGCACAAGCAAATACATACAGGCATACATACATACATGCATGCATACATGCATCCATGCATGCATGCAATACACGCATACATGCCTACATGCATAAATGCATACATGCATATGTTCATAAAGGCACAAGACAAGCAATTGTACACACATGCAAAGAGGTGTATACATATGCATAGGCATGTACATGTATATGGGTATGTATAAGCACATGTATGCGTGTGCGTATGAAGAAGGCAGCAGCACCAGCACCCCAAAAGCTGCCGAGGCTCTGGCTTGAGCAGCTGCTGGAAGAGCCAGCCGGGCCTCTCTCAAACTGAAGATGCCCTTTTGTGTTTTTCATCATCTCCGAACTGATTCCGCACCCGCGTACCGCGCGGGCAGACTTCGGAAATCTCGAGGCTCGGAGCAAGTTTTCAGACTTCTTGCGACACTGCTGGATGCCATGATGACAACCGCACAGCAACTCAGCGCCAATTTGCCTACCGGGCTTGAAGATCCACATCTCATCTCCGCATATCTCCGCGGGCAACCACAAGGCGACCGAATAATGATTCCGACTACAGATGCAATATGTATGCTAATGAATCCACAATTTCGAAGACTAAGACACGACCTCAAGCTAAAGACCTCTCCTCTGCTTCGACCTCCGAGGACCCGACGCACATCCGCAGTCCGCGATGTCACACAGGCGGAAGGGCCACCGGGGATCGGCCTCCACGGTGTTTATCCATAGGCCCCATAGTAGTTCCTTTTTGCGGCTTATATTTAGGATCCTATTAGGTGATCCCAAAAAGGAACTACTATGGGGCCTATGGGTATAGGGTTTGGGCTCAGGGCTGACAGGTTTTAGGGGGTTAGAGCTGGGCTTCGATGCTTGCCCTAAACCCCCAAACCCTAAACCTTAAACCCAAAGCCCAAAGCCCTAAACCCCCCAAACCCTAAACCTCAAACCCAAAGCCCTAAACCCCCAAACCCTAAACCCGAAACCCAGAGCCCTAAACCCAAGTTGAGGCCTTCGAGTCCTTCATTCGCTTTGCCTGGGTTTGGAAGCTCGGTGAAGATCGGCGAAGATTGGTTTCCAATATCTGTCGTGATAGATGGCCATGCTGCTCGGTTCATCACGAATCAGCTCTTTAGATTTTGTAAGACGTCAAATGAAATAAGATTAGTCCGAATAATAATAATCATAATAATGAGGGTGATATTTGTAGTAACAATGTCGAAAGCAAACCTGGGCGCGACGTCCACGATGCTCTTCCGCGTGCCTCGTCGACCCACTCTACGGCAGAGTCCTCAAGCAAAGCAGCCCGTGTCCCTACAAGCCAATGCTGGTTTAGTTTCTACTGCTGCGATTATTCGTAGTATTACCGATAACTGACATACTTATTGCTACAATATTTGTCATTCTTAGTACGACCCGAACCACGCTCCTTAATTAATGAAGGCTCGAAGAATCCAAACAAACCCAAATAGCACAACGACGCGAGCAAAACAGCAGTTCACACAAAGCTCATAGAGCCCAAACTCCAATATTCCCCCAATTTGGCTTACGGTTTAGAGCTTTTCGGTTTAAACCCACGCAGCCAAAGTCCCAATCCCTAAACCCCAGCTCGTAGGCCCTTCTACTCTTAGTTCGTAAGGTAGCTAAACCTGTCTTACCTCGTAAGGTAAACCGTAAAGTATTGCAGTAATATACCCCTATAGAGCCCATTCGAAATAACCCACACTTCCATTCTTGTGGTAACCCTTCTAGAATTATAGCATTGTAGAGTACCCCGTGTAAAAACTAGATAACCCCAATTCCTATTCGTTTCGTATCCCGTCTAGCATCAAACAGAAAACTCCAATTCCTACAGTATTCTAGAGTAGGGTAACCGTTAGGGAACTGAGAGCATGATGAGACTAACCATCATAGAGAGTATATATGGCAACTCTACAACCCAATTCCGACTCCTATAGTAACCCTTCATAGCATACCGCAATCCCTAAACCCTGAGCCCTAAACCCTAAGCCCTGAACCCGAAGCCCTGAACCCTAAACCCTAAGCTCGAAACCCTACCCGTCAACTCTCGCTCCTCCACAGTGGCATCGTCCCAAGGAAGCTTGCTCACCACGAGGATTCGCCGGACCTGCTGAATTAATGTATGGGCCTTGATGATTAGAATAGGGTTTTGGGCTCCTTTATATTATGATAAAAGTAAGGAGCCCTAAGGAACAATATTGGTAATTATTGAAGCTTCTATGATATAAGGGGTTACTTCCAGCGCTCCTTTAAAGTGTTACATTAATCAGGGTTACCATGAAGGTTCTGCATAGGGGCCTGAATAAATAGCGTTTGCTCTTGCGGAATCCTGTGGAAAACGTATATTCTGGAGCCCTAAGGACATGAAGTCGGCGTTTTTTGCGAGCTTCGGTTTTCGGGTTGAGGAGTTCAGACCTCCAGGGTTTTAGGGTTCCGGGCTCGGGGTTTCGGACTTAAGAGGCTTTAGGGTTTCGGGTTCAAGCTTGAGTGATCTTCATCCCGGGAAACCTATAACCATAAGTCCCATAAGCCCACAGCCTCCAGGTCTGAACCCTTTGGGCTTTGGGTTCTGGGGTCTTTTAGCATTAAAGGAGAGTGTACAGCTAGGGCTTAAGCTTTCAACATTGTGAAGGGTGCTTCATAAGGGTTTCAGCCTTAAGGCCTAGGTTCAAGTCGGGTTTAGGGTTCAATAAGGGCTTAGGGCTTAAGGCCTAGTGTGGAAATCGGGTGTCGGGTTTGATGGGGGTTTAGGAAGTTTAGGGTCTAGGGCTTGGGTTGACCTGTAGCCGAAAACACCTACCTTTTCGTAGGAATTATATAGAAACCCAAATAAGGATTTATAAACCTAGGTAGGTCTTTTCGGCTACAGGTAGGGCGTAGGACTGAAGGGCCAGCTGAACCATCCTTGATTCTAGGAGTCTGCATGTCCGTGAATGGATCCAGGGCTCAGGACATGTCAATGTGCCTCTAAGGCCACAGATATCTACCTGCAGATCCATGTTAAACCCAAAAGCTCAAAACCTTATGGTTTAGGGTTTGGGGTTGCTGCTTGGGGTTTAGGGCTTAGGGTTTAGGGCTAGGGACCCTGACAAGAAAACATAAATTGCCTCTGGGCAACAGCGCCGCAAGGATCGGATGCAATGACCTGCTATGCCAGTTCTCTAGATACGTGCTAGCTCTTCATACCCAGAGACTCCAAAACGGTCCAGGGCTCGGGGGTTTGAGGGTTGAAGGGTTTAAAGCCCCGTTCGTGGGAAGTGAGGTGTTGTTCGTTGGGAAGTGAGGTTTTGTGTGTGTGGAGGGTCCCGAAACCATAAATTAGGGTTTAGGGGTTTAGGGTTTAAAGTTTAAAGTTTAAAGCTTCCCTCACTTGCGCGTTGGCACAGCTCGAAGTAATGTGCTATCACGGCAACAGTATACCCCACTCCTAAACCAAGCCGGAAAATCGTAAATGCTAGACTTAGGGCGGTCTTGAGAGTCACATCAGGACATTCCGGGGCAAATGCCGAGGGTCTCGAAGTCTTTCTCGTGAGCAGGGATGATGCAGTCGAGGACCTTGCTCAGGGCCTAAACCCTCAAGCCCTAAACAGAGAATCCCAAACTCCAAAACCTCATGCATGCACGTTCAACTCTAAAGCCAACTGCATCGCAGCCACCGCCTCCGACTCGGGAGCAGCTTGGCGGGCCATGGCATTTTACGGCTTAGGGATATTAGGGGCTGCAGTGCCAAAGCCCCCCCAGGGTTGTCTAAGAAACAGTTTTCTACTGAAGCAGCCCAAAACCCTATAATCCCTATATAGACCCTAAAACCTTACAAACCCTTAAGCCTAAGCCTTGGGATTCGGACGCGAGCTTTGGGCCTACTCTGGCCTCGGATTTAGTTATTATTCTTTGTTTGGGGGGGTTGAAAGTTTAGGCTCCTAAACCCTCAAGGAGAACCCTATAAGCCCCAAACTCTGAACCCCAGACACTCTTAGGGTTTAGGGTTTAGGGAAAACAGGGCTTAGGGTTTTTACGTTTAGGGTCCCTTAGCTCCAAAACCCTGAAGGAGTGAAGGGCCTGGGACACCCGATGCGGTAGAGCTTTCGTCTGGCCGACAGTTCGGGGGTCTAGGGTCCATGGGGTAAGGGGTGCCATGTAGGGGCCTTAATACATAACTAGAACAGGGTTCTGGGGTATGTTATTATAGTTATAGTATGGCTGAAGGAACAAACTGGTAGTTCTTCCGACCACTGTATGAGGACTTAGGGTGTTCGGGGTTAGGGCCTTTGAGGGTTCGAGGTTTAGGGTTCAGGGTTTGTAGGGTTTAGGTTTTTGAGGTGTAGCTGCAAGGCCTCGGTCGAGTTCGTTGCTGAGGCATGTCACGAAGCTTGAGCCGAGACCGACGCTCTTCGGGGTCTCTGCTTTACCATGACACATAGACCCGAAACCGCAGGATCAAGGACCCCAGATGTGTTCATACCTACACAGGATCTTAATTCAAGTTTCGTGCTGCGACCTGGTTCTGGTAATGTCAGAGGGATCGGTTCCAGTTTAACTATGCTGTCACTTTCCATTGCACTCGCACGCAGCTGATCAGCGTTCCCTCCCGCAGCATCTGTCTTTGATTGACAGTAGGGCGGAGGATCCTACACCATAACCCTGACCATGGCCCTCTACCCTGCATGTCCTATAAACCTTAAACTACTAAATCCTAAAACCTAAATCCCAGAGCGTAAGCCCTAACCATCGGTTGCTGACTTTCACCCGAATCAAGCTACACCCAGAACGCTGCATAGATGTATTCTCTAATAAGAGAAAACGGTCGGACACATGATCGTGCTTGGAATAGCAAGCAAGAGCAATGGTCATGCTACAACAGCAAGAAACACAAAATAAGCCGCATGTGAACGCGTAATTATGTGAAACATATCGGGTGCTTTACTTTAGCACAGATTGTAGGGCCTTAGGGGCCTTCATACTTCCAGTAGGGTTTGGGGTATACTGAAACCATACTATAATAAATACCAGCCAGGAACTTACAAGACACCTTGCCCCAA